GGGCCCAAATTTGTAAAAAAAATCTAAATTTAAAGAGGGAAGGAAAAATCCCAAACCCCCCCCCCCTTGATTTTCCCTCAGTAAAGCATTTCAACAAGGTTAAAAATGCACTGGCTTTAAAAGGATTTTTCTGGCTCCGAACCACATTTCGGGCAGCCTTTAAAAGCCAATTCTTGGCGTGGCTTCGGCTGAGCCCGAGGAGAGGGAAACTAGGGCATGTCTCTGCTCTGAGAAACATGGGATCTGGGTCACCGCTGAGGCCGTGGGCACCCGCCTTCCCCAGGCTGAGCCTGAGCCCCCCGCCCCCCCCCCCCCATTTCCTCCAGAGCACAAATCACAACACTGGGACGCACATTTCTTCTCACTGGTCGCCTGTCTGCCTGTCACTAGATTGCCACCTTGTAAAGGCAGGCACCGGCTTTGGGTCCGTGCGTGCCCAGGGCCGCCTGCTCCAGGAAGAGTCACAGAAGGACCCTGCGGGACCGACTCTGTCCTCTGGAATGCTCCGTCACACCTGAGTACCGTCTGCCACCGCGCCAGGGTCTGCCCCGCACACAGGCCGCGCGTGGTAAGCAGTTCCTGAGAAATCAGAGCCCCGGTGTCCTCCTTGTGGGACAGAACTCAGCTGACTCGTAAGGTCCCTCCTGGCCCCTCGGAACGGAGCCTAAAATGCAGACCGAGACTCTCCTGGGCTCCAAGCACTGCCCGGCTCTGAGCAGCCGTGTCTGACCCCAGCTCCACACCTGACCACACAGCAGACAACGCTAGTCTGGCATCTGGCAAGGTGCCATGTTCCCGTCAGGAAGGGACGCCCCCACGCCCCACCCTCATGGCGGTCTCTGGGAAGGTCTAGGCTCCCTCACACAGCCCCCTGCCCCCGCCTTCACGGAGGGATGAGGATGTGGCTGCTGGAGAGTGGTGGGGTGTCACTCCTTCTGCCGCCGCCACAGGGGGCCCTTGAACCGAGACCATTAAGTGGACACTGGCTCCGTCTTCCTCCCCAGCGTTCGTGGCCTGGGATTCTGGCTGCAGTACCGTGTTTCCCCATGAACAACTGCTCCTCCTGCTGTACCTGAGGGTGGGCACACGACCCGTCCTGGACCATCAGAGCACGGTGCGCTCTGGCCACAGTGACAGGCCCACTGGACCCCAGCCGGGTCTGCTGCTGAGGCTGGGTGCTGAGTGACAGGAGTGGGCACGAGCTGCTGGAGTCCCTCCTGCCACCGGGTGGGTGGACGGCCTGCCCAGGATGGGCTGGCAGAGGAGGAAGAGCCAGCTGTGGAGGTGAGGGGGGAGACCGAGTCCTGAGGGCTCTCGCTGTACACGTTTAGTTTTTAATGAGCCGTCCTGTCCCTGATGGAACACCACCTTTATTTTTTTTCAACATAAGGGTGAGAAGTGTTTTTTGGTCACATGCCATCAGGAGTCCTGACTGGGCAGCTCTGAGCAGGGCTGGGGGAGGGGGAGAGGAAGGGAAGACACCTGGGGTCAAGTCTTAGCTTGCTCAGCGGCTCCCTGTCTTACCAATCTCGAGAAAACAAGAGAAAGTACAGTCAAGCCCAACATCTGCTTCTCAGGAGCCGAGCCTGAGGCTGCCTCAGAGGGAGCGAGGGCTGGAAAGGGGAGAAGGGGGCCAGGCCACCCTGCCCCCGGGCCTCCCCTCTCTGGACACTGGGGAGAGGGTGGATGCTACTCATCACGATGCCATCACAGCTGCTACTGGTGCACATGCAGTGACCAGGCCCAGGCCCTTCCAAGCACGTTTGCTAGTCATTTAACCTCCCGAGGACGAGCAGAGATCGTGATGATCACGCAAGGGAACTGCTCAGGACGGCAGCCGCACGGCGGGCCCCTGTGGCCCACTGCTCAGCACCTCTTCCCCTTTCTCCCGAGACCGCGGCCCCTTTGCTCAGAGAGCTGTTGCTCCCCACTCCTCGTGGGCTTCCCTTCTTGGGGCTGCTGTGGCTCTGAGCCAATCAGAGCATCACCTGCAGAGACGTGATGGCCATGTGATGCGGTGGCCACGCCTCTGCCACTTGAAGAAACTAAAACAACAAGGCTGACCTCAAACCAGGGTCAAGAAGAGAGACGGCGCCACAGAGAAACCCCAGGTCCTGGGTCTTGCTGCCCTTGGCCTTGGTTTGGCTGCACAGGCCAGTGAAGGCCCCTTGTTCATTTTGGCGACTCTGACTTGGGTTCCTGCCTCCTGCCACACAAGAGTGCTGGCCAACATAGATGACTGGTTCCCGGCTCCAGCGCCCCTGGGATTCAGCCGCTGGGGTGGAGGGTAGCTCGGAGTCTTTGTTTTGACCAAGCACAAGCAGCCTGAGCTAGGTGACCTCCAAGACCCTGTCCAGAGCCGAGAGTAATGATGCTGGGTTTAGGCGGATTATACTCAGTGTCAGCTCACTGGGAGGCTTAACAAATACCAACCAGAATCAGGCAGGTTTATGGTTAGCTCTCATGAGCTCCTTCTAATCCCCTGGAAAAGCACCACAAAACAAAAAGTGCTAGCTGTACGGAAAAACTGGTCACCTGGGCTCCGTTAAAAATAAAGAACTCCTAGTCATCAAAATACACCATGTAGGGAGCACTCAGGAGTAGAAGATAATTACAGTATATGCATCTGAGAGAGACTGCAATCCCGAATACAGAAAGAACCTCCACAAATCAGTGAGAAAAACAATGAAAGCCCAGTGGGAAATGACCTGAACAGGCTTATCACAAAAGCAGATATCCCAACGGCCAACCAGCAACGAGAAGTTCTCCAGCTTCCTTGGTCTTCGGGGAAATACAAATTTAAGCCACCAGGTGATACCAGCACCTAACAGAATGGCCCAAAATCAAAGCCCGATGACACGAGGGTGGGTGAGGATGTGAGCAACTGGACTCACACACTCCGGTGGGAGTGGGAATTGGTGCAGCAACTAAAGCTAAACATATGTGTGGGCTCTGATCCAGCAATTCCGAGGTCTACATCCAAGGGACATGTATGCATATGTTCACCAAAAGACATTCATAATAGTGCCGAACTGAAAACAGCCCAAATGCCCATTGATAGCAGAATGGGTAAATGAATCATGGTGTTTCCATAAGCGGAGTACTCTACAGAAACGTGAACTACTGTTACATGTGACACAAATGAATCTCACAAACATAAGGTGGGTCAAAAGAAGCCAGACTTTGTAAGAGGGTACAAACCGTATGATTCCGTTTATATAAAGTTCAAAACCAGGTAAAATGAACCTAGCAGTCAGGACAGTGGTTCCTTTGGGGAGGAGGGCAGGGCAGTAACTGGAGGAGACATGGAAGGGACCCTCTGGATGCTCCACTTCTTTTGTTGTTGTTGTTGTTAATCCTCACCCAAGGATATTTTCCCCATTGATTTTTAGAGAGAGTGGAAGGGAGGTAGGAAGGTGAAGAAGGAGAGGGAGAGGGAGAGGAACATCAATGTGAGAGAGACATCGATTGGTTGCCTCCTGCACATGCCCTAATCGGGCTGGGGATCGAATCTGCAGCCCAGGTACATGCCCTTGACTGGGAATAGGACCAGCGACTGTTTGGTGCTCTGGCCCATGCTCTAACCACTGAGCAACTTCTTTATCTGAGTGCTCCTTACATGGGTGCAGCCAATTAGCAAAAACTGAGCAGCCACTAAATGGCTACCGAGCTGCAGTGCACGGTACTGACCGATTTGTACACCTGTAAATAGTATGCTCTTCAGTGAAAATTTACATTAACAAAGCATCACCGGCATTGAGGCAGGGAGGGAAGCAAGGCTGCCACCTTGCCTTGATCAGGAAAAGGAAAGATAGATCTGGGCACGGAAGCAAAAAGTATTCCGTGTTAAGAAAGAGAGGGCTCTGCCAGAGAGATGGCAAAACTGAGCAGAGAACAAGCCTAAACGCCTGAGGACACGGCAGAGCTTCTGAGACTGCTCTCTGAAGCAACACGGAGGGCTGGGGGTCCCGTCTGCCGACAGTCTCCCTGCACAGGAAGGGCCACCTATGCAGGCGGCAAGGCGGGGCAGGGCCGCGGGCCCATCCAGGGCCACTGGTTTTCCTACGACAAGGCTGAGGGCGTAATGGAGACACCATCAGGCTCCAGAAGACACTCTCTGGGGGAACAAGGAGGCTCAGAGGGCCCCGAGCTCGGGGAAATGGTCGTGTGTGACGGCTGCAGCTGGACGCGAGACTGCAGCACATGCTGGGGGCGGGGCATGGGGCGCCCTTTCTGAAGAAGCGGAGAAAGAGATGTAAAGCTTAGGGCTTAGGAAAGCAGCATCTGAAAGGCAAGAGTGGGAGGTGAGGCTCAATGGCACAGGACGCCGGTGGAGGACTAGGGGAATCGAGAGACTGGCGTGCCCCTGAAGTCCCTCTCGGCTCAGCTTCAGAGATGGCCAACATGGGTTGCTGTGAGCGACTGATAAACCAGAGGGAGAAACAAATAATCTGGGGGGAAGGAGCGGGTGAGACATGTCCTCTTGAGCAAGAGTCAAATTGGAGATTTAGACCAAGAAAGGCATTCACTGTCCAAGTGCCAGGCAGTTCCAACGAGACTGAGTCATCTAATTTCAGACCGGAAGTAGGCCAGGCTAATGGACCACAGGAGCCTGGAGGGCTGGGGGCCTGGAAGGAAGACGGGGAAGGACACAGATTTACTCAGCCTTTCCCTTCTGCCTGAGAGGTGGCCGCCAGCAGGATGAGCCCTGGAGGAGGAGGAGGAGGAGGAGGAGGAGGAAGAGGGGGAGGAGGAGGAGGAGGAGGAGGAGGAGGTCACACCAGCATGGTGTGTGGGGGTTTCCTGCGGTGAACGATGCTGGGTGAAAGGGAGATGCCATGAGAGAGCCCAGCTTCTTCCCGATGAGGGCTGAGGAAAGCAAAGTCCAGACTGGAAACTGGGGTGGTTTTCCCAAATGGGTTTCCACCACCACTGTCTGGAAGACAAGCAGGATCCCGGCTCTGGGTCTCTGGCTGGTGACGCCGCCCCCCCTCGGCGTGAGGGAGTGGGCGCAGATGCTCTGGCACTGCAGGGGAATTAAACAGAGCTCTCCTGGAGCTGAAGCTGCAAAGCTCTAAAGCAGTGGTTCTCAACCTTCTGGCCCTTTAAATACAGTTCCTCATGTTGTGGTGACCCCCAACCATAAAATTATTTTCGTTGCTACTTCATAACTGTAATGTTGCTACTGTTATGAATCGTAATGTAAATATCTGATATGCAGGATGGCCTTAGGCGACCCCTGTGAAAGGGTCGTTCGACCGCCAAAGGGATCGCGGCCCACAGGTTGAGAACCGCCGCAGAAAGTCCCATCACCCCCTTCAGAGCCCGAGAGACGTCCAGTGGTGCAGGGTGCCCCAGGCCAGGGTCCTCCCAGGCGCAACCATTTGCGCTGAGCCATGAATTCCCCTGTGTGGAAGGGGCAGCGGGGCTGGGCGCCCTTCACAAACTGCACGTGACAGACCCGTGTGGGTTTTTCTGAAGGCAGAGCGTGCATGTGTGCGTGTGTGCATGCGTGCGCGTGTGTGTGTGTGTATGCACGTGTGTGCATGCGTGCGTGTGTGAGTGTGTGTGTGATCTTTGGGGCCACCTGCTAAAAGAAACCACCATTGTGGGAGAACCGGCCTTCAGGCCGCCCGAGGACACCTAAGCTGAGGGGGTCCAGGTTTACACCACCTCCAGTGAGTGAACAGGACACACTCTCTTTAATTCCTGCTCCCGAAGAGTTTAACGCACGTTGAAAACTAAGGACGCCCTGTGCCTGTCCTGGCTCAGATGCAGCCCCGCCCCACAGGCAGGAGGTGGAAATGACTTCTAGGGGCTGATTCCAATCTACCACCTGTCACGATGCGACAGGGCAATACTCATCAGCTACTGCTGAGTAACCAAGCTAACTTACCAAGGTCAAAGCTGTTCGATTCCTGGCATCTTTAGGTAAAATATAGACAAATCCAGAGGACTGCAGAGTCTACCCAGAAACTTGACCCCTCAAACTTCAGAAAGAAATTAATTTCCAAGTCCTTAGCCCCTGGCAACAGTTCCTGACAATCACGCCCCAGGCCCTGCCGGCTGCCTCGCTGCCTGAGTCATGGGCTGGGGAGCTGATGCCTTTTGTTGTTGCTAATCCTCATCTGAGGATATTTTTCCATTGACTTTCAGAGAGAGTGGAAGGGACAGGGAGAGACAGAGAAGAGAGAAACATCGATGTGAGAGAGACACATCGATTGGTTGCCTCCCGCACGCACCCCGACCAGGGCTGGGATGGAGCCTGCAACCGAGGTACGTGTCCTTGACTGGAATTGAACCCTCGGCCCTTCAGTCCGCGGACCAATGCTCAACCTCTGAGCCAAACCGGCTAGGATGAGCTGATGTCTTTTAATCCA